AGAGTGAAAAATTTGGCTTAAAACTCAACATTCAGAAAACTAAGATCATGGCATCTGGTCCCATCACTTCATGGCAAATATTTGGGGTAACAGTGGAAACAGTGAGAGACTTTCTTTTTGGGGGCTCCAAAATCACTGCAGATGGTGACCGCAGCCATGAAATTAAAAGACGCTTACTCCTTGGAAGGAAAGCTATGACCAACCTAGATATATATTAAAAACCAGAGACATTACTTTGCCAACAAAGATCCCTCTAGTCAAGGCTATGGTTTTTCCAGTAGTCATGTATGGATGTGAGAGTTGGACTGTGAAGAAAGCTGAGCGCCAAAGAACTTGCTTTTGAACTGTGGTGTTGGAGAAGACTCTTAAGAGTCCCTTGGACAGCAAGGAGATCCAACCAGTCCATCATAAAGGAGATCAGTCCTGGGTGTTCCTTGGAAGGACTGATGCTGAAGTTGAAACTCCAATACTTTGGCCACCTGATGTGAAGAGTTGACTCATTTGAAAAGAGTCTGATGCTGGGAAAGATTGAGGGCAGGAGGAGCAGGGGACGACAGAGGATGAGATGGTTGGATGGCATCATCGACTCAATGGACATGAGTTTGGGTAAACTCTGGGAGTTGGTGATGGACAGGGAGGCCTGGCGTGCTGCGATTCACGGGGTTGCAAAGAGTTGAACACGACTGAGCGACTGAACTGAACTGAACTGAACTGAGTGATGATGGCCAACACCACAGTAGATTGCAGCAATAGAGAAACTAACAAGTAGGAGCTGATGCTCCTCATCTCCCTAGTGAAGACTTTAATAAAGATCTTCCAAAAAAAAAAAAGTCTAGATTTCTAGGCCGGACAACTCTCATAAATAGCATTAGCCCAACAACCCAAGGCCATCTCCTGGTGAGAAATGGGTTCTACCGCTAGATGGCAGACATATGCCAGACAGCCTCTCCTACAGCTTGACCCACTTCCTAGCTTCCTCTGTAAAATTGGAGCAGGACCACATTGCTTACATACTTTGCAGGACTGAAGACTGGTAAAGTCCCAGGAGTTATCATCAAAGTCAGGAATTTCAGGAACTGGAAAGAAAGTACATGGTGTACATGGTACTGATAAAGAGGAATCTGGAAATATCCTCAGCTCTTATTCCCTTGCTAAGAGCCTCCCGGGCCTGTCAGGTAAAACCCCATGTGACACGTGAGCCTGTAAGGAGAGGTTAGGCTGGCTTTCCCTGGCCCAGGGCAGTCAGCTCTCAGCTGTGGTGAATGCAAGGCCACTTCATCCTCACTCAGCAACACATCGTGGGCACCTCATTGTAAAAGGGCATGCCAAGCACAGATTTGCCCTATGTGAAAAATGAGTTTGTGCAATGCACAATTTCACGTTCTCCTACACATTCATTCGAGGAGATGTCTGAATAAGCAAATCTTTGATGTTGTTGTTTAGTTGCTAAGTTGTGTCTGACTCTATGACCCCGTGGACTGTAGCCCGCCAGGCTCCTCTGTCCATGGGATTTCCCAGGCAAGACCACTGGAGTGAGTTACCATTTTCTCCTACAGGGGATCTTCCCAGCCCTGGGATCAAACACCGTGTCTCCTGCATTGACAGGTGGATTCTTTACCATTGGGCCACCCGGGAAGCCCCGGATAAATCTTTAGTCCTGGCTCAAATTGATTCCACTGGCTAATTTGTTGTTTTGGTTCATGGTTTATTGAGAAGATAAACCATGGAAAGTTAACTTCATGTTGGGTTTTAGCAAATGTGTTTAAACTGTTTCAGATGGCCCTCAGCACCAGATGATGACAGAAATCAATCCCTGTGGCCCCTCCTCTCAAAGCTACTTTCCCACATCCTAGGTCTCCTCCACCTCTCATCTGTAGAACTTTTATGCAGGTCCTCACAGGTTTCTTTCAATCTGAGTCGAGCTGGTTCGACTCAAGCAGCACTTACTCACTCATCAAACTAGTGAGTCCAGGCTGTGGAGCAGTGGGTGGCTCAAAGGACACTGTGACAGATGCGTGGGACGGAAAGCGGGCAGCTCAGGAGCTTCACTGGCCTGCAGCACTGCCCCCCACGGCCGGCAAGGAGCAGAGCTGAGCTCACTGGCCTGCAGCACTGGCCCCCACGGACGGCAAGGAGCAGAGCTGAGCTCACTGGCCTGCAGCACTGCCCCCCACGGACGGCAAGGAGCGGAGCTGAGCTCACTGGCCTGCAGCACTGCCCCCCACGGACGGCAAGGAGCGGAGCTGAGCTCACTGGCCTGCAGCACTGCCCCCCACGGACGGCAAGGAGCGGAGCTGAGCTCACTGGCCTGCAGCACTGCCCCCCACGGACGGCAAGGAGCGGAGCTGAGCTCACTGGCCTGCAGCACTGCCCCCCACGGACGGCAAGGAGCGGAGCTGAGCTCACTGGCCTGCAGCACTGCCCCCCACGGACGGCAAGGAGCGGAGCTGAGCTCACTGGCCTGCAGCACTGCCCCCCACGGACGGCAAGGAGCGGAGCTGAGCTCACTGGCCTGCAGCACTGCCCCCCACGGACGGCAAGGAGCGGAGCTGAGCTCACTGGCCTGCAGCACTGCCCCCCACGGACGGCAAGGAGCGGAGCTGAGCTCACTGGCCTGCAGCACTGCCCCCCACGGACGGCAAGGAGCGGAGCTGAGCTCACTGGCCTGCAGCACTGCCCCCCACGGACGGCAAGGAGCGGAGCTGAGCTCACTGGCCTGCAGCACTGCCCCCCACGGACGGCAAGGAGCGGAGCTGAGCTCACTGGCCTGCAGCACTGCCCCCCACGGACGGCAAGGAGCGGAGCTGAGCTCACTGGCCTGCAGCACTGCCCCCCACGGACGGCAAGGAGCGGAGCTGAGCTCACTGGCCTGCAGCACTGCCCCCCACGGACGGCAAGGAGCAGAGCTGAGCTCACTGGCCTGCAGTACTGCCCCCCACGGACAGTACAGAAGCAGATCCAAGCAAAGCACCCAGCTCCAGACATGGCACACAGACCGGGGAGGTGCGAGAGCAATGTGCAGAGAAAGCCAGATCACAGCTAAAGTGGTTGGAAAACCATGGCTCACAAGGTCTTCATCTGCCTGCAGGTAATCACCAAGCTTGATAATACACAGCTATGTGTTACTCAAAAACACACCAGCCTGGGACTTCCCTGGTGGTGCAGTGGCTAAGACTCCTCACTGGGATGCAGGGGGCCAGGTTCTTTCCCTGGTCAGGGAACTAGACCCCACATGCTGCAGCTAGCAGTTCGCATGCCTCAACTGAAGAGTCCTCATGCTGCAACGAAGATCAAAGATCTCAAGCGCTGCAACTAAGATCTGGTGCAGCCAAATAAAATTAAAGAAAAAAAAAACACACACATCAGCCTTCTGAGACGGATTCTTCTGAAATTCAAGTTCTTTTGGACCCAGACTCCTCGGCGGGTCCCCCTGTCCTTGGGACGAGTGGCTGGGAACAGCAGGGCAGCTCTGCACAGCGATGAGGGTGATGAGGCGCCTGGGAACAGCGGGTGAAGGGACGAAAGGGAAGCTGAGAAGGTGGGGGGCGAGGGGGACTGGGTGCTACAAAGAGGGCAAAAGCCAATTATTTTAATTATTTTAAGATCTCTGGCAGTGGGTGGCCTAGATCTTTTAATAACAAGGAGGTCGATGGTTATCTGCATTGATTGTATGACTATAAACTAAATATAGACACTTAAGGTAATCACACACATGTATTCAGCTTGAAGTTGTTCACTGTTGTAATGCCAACTCTCCTCCACCCAATAAGGGTTTAGAAGGTTTTGTTTTGGCTTTTACTGTTGGAGTCGAGGAAGGGACGGCAAAGGGAGGGGAGGGAGGGAAGACACTGCACAAACTGGACGACCTCAGAGGAAGCAGAGCCAGCCAGAGCCAGAGAACAGAAGCCTCCCAGGGACTGGCCTGGCCTTCAGGGATGGAGCAGAAGTGCACGCACGGAGGCCTGCGGCGCAGCAGACGATGGGGAAGCTCAGCGACAACGGGCTGGCGCCCATATCCAGCCAGCAAAGGCCTACAGCGCTACCCCTCCTGTCACCCACTGGCCTCAGTCACTGTTCCTCCTGCACAAGCACCACAAAGGAGCCAAGAGTGGGTTCTTTTCTGTTCAGTTTTTATTTACAGCGAAGTACAGAGTATGTGGTCATTTACGTAAGTGCTAACAAGTAAGTGCAGGGCAGTAGGAGGAAAAGAAGAAAGTGCAAGCATCTGAAAGACCAAAAAACAAAAAATAAAAAGGCCTATGTCTCTATTTACCTACTCACCCTGTTCCCGAGGCAGGGCCAGCCAGGCACGCGCCACCTCTAAGGGTGGCCGGACAGTGCCCTGAAGCCAGCCCACTGCCTGAGGAGGGCCGCAGAAGGCGCAGAGACCAAGTTCAAAGGGGGGACTCGGCTCTAGACTCGCCCCAACGGCTACCCGAGCATGCTGTCACTCTCTCTCATCTGCTGGGACACAGAGACTTTGCCCACTCTACCCTGAGGTCAGGGCGAAGGGTAGGAGTGGCAGAGAAGTCAGCTTTCCAGAAGCCCAGCCCTGAGACCCGGAACCACCCTCGCCTGCCTCACCCATGTGGTCACTGACTGACAGGCAGGTGGGAGACTCAGGGTAGAGGAGAACATTTCCCTGCGAGAGGCTACGAGTTTCTGCCAATGGCTTTGGGCCCTGGGGCAGGTCAAGGTTGCTGAATCAGGGAAGCCACACAACAATGGCCAAGGAGGTGATGCCCGAACCAGCTGGGCTCCAGTGCCTCCTGCACACAAGCCGGACCTCGCAGCCTCACAAGAGGCTGACATCCCACCCCGGGCACCACGACAAGTGTCCAGGCCAGCCCAGGAGAGGCAGGAAGCCAAAGTCCTTGACCGTCCAGCAGCCAAGACCACAGTGGGTTGTTGCAGTTTACAGGTTCTGAAGGGTGAACTGGAGACTTCTGCATTACCCTCCACGGCCTGTTCTTCACAGACCATCGCCTCTCGAGGGCCCACCCTACCCACTCCAAATCCAGTGATGCCTGAGGTAACAACACTGCATCTTCCTTATACACACTCCCAGCTCTCTGCTCCTGTTGGTCTCAGGCTGCCAAGAACAAGAAACCCAGGAAGGCAGAAGTTCCATTAGCGAGAAGGAGTGTGGGCCCAGGACTGTCCACGACACAACGCCTGTTGTAAACACATGGTCCTTGGACAACACCTGCACAGTGCGAGAAGCAGGTGCCACTGGGCGTCTCTGAAGCCAAGAAACTCCCGTGCATACACAGCCAACCCTGCCCTACTCTGCTCATCCGTGCTGCCTCTCCAGACAGCAAACAGTATCCATCTCTGACCTCATAATTCTATCCGATGCTCCAGCAAAAACAGAGATCCAGTGGCTCTTAAAATACCAACTCCAGGATTTGCCGCATAGAAAGCGCAAGTTCAGATAGATGCACAGTTGGCTAAATGCTGGGGTCCCCACAGGGCAGAGCTTCCCATCCCCTCCTTGGCCCAGACCTTCTGTGTCACAGAACCAGAGGAGTCATTAGCACCGCCAGCGAGCCCCCAGCCAACGGGCCAAGATATCAAGAGGCGGGGCTTCCCCGGTCGCCACACAGTATAGAACCTGCCTGCAATGCAGAAGACCCGGGTTCAAACCCTGGGTCTGAAAAATCCCCCGCAAAAGGGGATGGCTACTCACTCCAGTAGTCCCATCTGGAGGACTCCATGGACAGAGGAGCCTGGTGGGCTACAGTCCACTGGATGGCAAAGAGTCAGACTCGACTGAGTGACTAACACTTTGACTTTACCGAGAGGCAGGGCAGCCTGAGAACTGTTTCCCACCAAGGACAGAGCTACTCGGAAAACCCTGGAGGCTTGGTCCCAACACCACGAGTAGATGAAAAAGCAGCTAAGTCAGTCAAGGCTCAGAGATGAGAAGACTCCATCTTCCAAGGCAGTAGGACAGACAGCCAAGGCACTGAATGGTTTGGCACCTGGGAGCGTCAAGTAAAGTTAAGCGTGCTACCCACCAAAAGGCCAAGGCTCCCCGAGACGGCCACAGACAGGCCCCCACAGAGCAGGGGGCTAACCCAGGCCTGCCATCCACCCTTCACCTCAGAGCTACACAAGGCGTGACTGGAAAGATAATCAACACTGATTTGGAAATGCGGGCTTCAGAACTCAGCCAACCCGCCGGGCACTGACCTTCAGAGCAGGCACCTTAGGGGCCTTCCCCTGCCCCAACTCAGCAGCTGCTGCCCTTGGGGGCTCCTTCCAGAGCAGTCCAGTCTCCTGGAGGTCTCAGGGGTGGCAAAGCCCTGTTGCGGATTAGGTTCGACTTTTAGACACAGCCCAACAGAGTTAGAGTCAAATGGAGTCCAGAAAGGGGGAAGCAAACCAGGTGAGGCTGAGCCTACAGGAACAACTCGATGTGCCTAGAGCTAATGGTGCTGGATCTATCAGAGTGGCTCCAAGGGGCTACAAAAGCAGTGGAAGGAGAAGGGATCCCCAAAATGTTTCAGGCTGTGGCAGCCACAAGGGAATAACTAAGGGCATAGCCTATCAAGCCCTGAGATGGTCCACGCTGAGATGAAAAGGCTCTGGCTCTTCTGCAGTTCAAAGATGAGGCTTAGCACACTATACTCACAGCTTCTCCATCTCACTAGGTCCGCTGCTTCCTCCAGCGCCCCCCACCAGGAATCTTCAGGAATCTGTACTGCTTCCAAAGAAGGAAGTTTCCACCAAGACGGAGCCTCGGGGAAAGCTCGAATTCTCCACCCCAAATGTTTTCAGCCTGAGACTCCAAGTTGTAATTTAAAAACACTACTCTTCCTTCCCGCCTCTTGTGCCCAGCCGCCAGCTGACGTGGCTGCATGGTAGATAAGTGAATCAGCATGGCCGGGATGCTGCCTGTCACGGCCCCTGCTGTCTTCACCTCGCTGCAAACCCCTCAGGTTGAGAAACAAACACGACAGCTCCCCATACAGCAGAGCTCCCTGGCCGCCCTGGGAGGGGCTGGCTGCCAGGAGAGGTGCTCAACCAACGCCCAGGCTGCGAGGGTCCACTGTGCACCCCACCATCTGGGGGAAAGCCCGAGGACTATCACTGGTGACCTCCCCGGAAGACGTCAGCATCTCAGGCACACCACGACAGACACAGTCCCTCTTTCCCCACTCTGTCAGGAAGCGACCCCATCGCATCCCCAACAGGGAAGGAGAGAGGAACCGCTCTGGTTTTCGGAAGCGGGTGAGTAAGGAAGGAAACAGAGAGCTGCCTGAGCAGCCAGAGGTGGGGTGGGGGCAAGAAGAAAACACAGAAGACTCATGCCCTGCAGTGGGCTTCTTCCCTGAGTTTGATTTTTTAATTGAGGTCTTGCCTAATTTCAACTCAGAAAAAAAAAAAAGAGAGAGAAGAAAAAATAAAAGAGGACCTCTTATCCACATTATCCTAAAGCTCCAGCTCCAAGAAGGTAGCATCTGACAGGGGAGGCGATCAAAGTTTCCAAACTCCACTTCCAGTGAGTCGCACAGATGTTGAGAGCCATGAGCCCTGAGCCTCCCTTCCACAGCCACCTGAACCTGCCCTGCCGGGCACACGCCGGGCACCAGGCCTCCAGTGAAACCCCAGGTCCAGCCCCCAACACACTGAAGGACAGGCCCTCCTGCAGAATACTTACGGCAAACAGCTGTACAGTATTTGTACATTTACACAAAAATAGATCCTTTTATATATATATATATATGTATATATATATATGTATTTATAACTGGTTACACGTTGGACTCATAATTAGGCATCACCAGTAGTAGTTGGCACAGTTTGTCATTTAAGCTCAGGGTCAACTTGTGTTTCAATTCATCGCTCCAAAGTACCAAAAAAAAAAAAAAAAAGGCATTTCATCTCCGTGGTGTTTTCTTAAATACAGCAATGTCACAGGAAACCATATGCATGGGTGCACAGTGCCTCCTGCCCCCTCCTCCGGGCCCCTGGAGACGGGGTCAGTGGGGCCGGCTGCTGGACTCCGAGGCCTGCCTCTTGCGTGAAGGGGTGTAGCCGTTGAGATAGCCGTTGGTCTGCCGCTTGGAGATCCCCCCGTTCAGGATGTCCTGGATGTGCTGCACGATGAGGTTGATGGCCACTGCGGAGCAGAAGAGGGCAGAGCGTCAGGGGCACGCGCGGGAGGGGGCAGGTCTGCGGGGCTGTTTGGGTGGAGGGCACACCGGAGCCGCAGACGAAAAACCGCTCCAGGAAGCCGGCTCCACTGCCCGTGGGCAAGTCCCCCACCTCCCCAGACCTCTATGGGGGCTCATGTGACCCCGCACGTGAGTTCTCAGAGTAGGACAGTCCGGGACACAGTAAGCCCTGAACGTAAGGCTTCCTATCAAGATGCAATCAGAGGCACGAACTGGATGGAAGCAATCAACCCAAATTCTGCAGACTTGAAGACTGGCCTTTGTTCTGACACCATTCCACCAGGAAACCTGCCAGTTCCCCACCCCAAAGACAGGGAACCCCACAGAAGGCCCTCTCCTCCAAAGGTAAGACTGGACTCTCCTTCCTTAGCCTTAGAAACAAATCGTATGCTTCAAGCACATGATCAGTGCTAACATCACTGAAAACAAGATGAACATCAAGTGCTTTCTGGGGTGACGCCCCAAGAACACAGCTCCCCCAGGGTATGTGGCACGTTGTATGAGCTGAAGCCAATCACGAGGACACAAAGGCAAACCCAAGCTGAGGGCTATTCCATAAAAACGGGCCTGTACTCCTCAAAAATGTAGTGTCACAAAAAACAAAGAAAGGCTGAGGAAGGTTAAAGGAGATGAAGTCAGTATTAAGTGTCCTGGATGTGATGAGCACACTGTGGCTTGAATGAAGAAATACATAGTGAAATTTTCATTGCTATGACTAACCCCCAAACGGCTCAGCAAAAAATTAACTTTTTAAACAGAGGAAAACTGAAATAAATTATAAAGAGAATAGGAAAACAGGGTCTTCTCCCAATTCAACTCTGCCCCATGATGCCTAAGTCCAGAGATATTCCTACTTTCTAGACAAGGCAAAGCTAATGCATAAAAACACAGTAGTAAAAATCCTTTTCCCCTCAGGAAAAGCTACGTTGATCTTTCTAAATGAAATTAAGAAGGAACTCTGCTTTAACTAAAAAATGGCCTTAGATACACAGTGCCCAGGTATCACTGGGAACAACAGCAGAAGGTATCCACTGGCCTCTGATCACTGCCAGAGAAGCAAGAACAAGTTCATGTCTGTCCCTGCTTATGTATATGCATAAACACAGTGGCCTGTCCTTGACACCAGGTGTGTAGGTATAAATCCCTTTCTGGCTCACAGCAGCAGCCAGGGCCTCAGCCACACCTGTAGAGCCTTGTTTGGTCACATCCTATCCAAAGTATAAGTGACAAAGGGAGGGGTCACACCCCATGCACGGCACCCCACGAGGACTCACCGAGATTATCTGCACCTCTAGGAATGATCACGTCAGCGTATTTCTTTGTCTGTGGAGAAAGATATTTATAACATGTTAGATGGATTACAATGCATTAAAGAGAGAAGCTGGCCCAAGCCCTTCTCCAAGGGAATGTGGAGAAAGGGCCAGCCTTCGCCTACTAATCCCGTAGGGCAATAATCTGTGACTTCAAATGTAATATATTTTATCCACTTTATCTAATTTATAATAGATCAGCTTTTTTCCTGAGTTCTCATTAACATTTAACACTTTTTCAGCTCACAACCTGCACAATGAACATGGTCTTGGAAACCAAATATAGCAGACTAAGCTGTTGAATGGCCACTGAGGCCCAACCTGCACTAGGCAGAGGATGCACCAGGTACCAGCTCCTGGCTTACGCAGAGTGAGCTGGTCTTCCCTGGGCTCAGTGGCCGCACAGTGGGAACGAGTGGAAACAACCTAGAAAATACTTATGTAAATTCTGAGTTCCACTACAACCAAGTTAAACGGCAGAAAGTTGGCAGTAAACTTAATCTATGTCCAAAAAGAATACTTTCTATTATTATTAAGCTAGAAAGAGCAGAGAGGTCCTCAGATGGATGGATAGAATTTCAGAGCGTCACAGCCACCTCTGCCCTCTTCCCAGAAACCTAATCCTGTGACCCAGGCCTCCCCAGGGAATGAGCAGGGCCTCAGGGTTACTCAGGCTGACTCACACAGCCTGCCTGGTTCTGGATCTGAAGCAAAAGTCAAGTCGGTTTTGAAGCAAAACCTACTAACATACTTGAAGAAACAAAGACAGCTCGGGACCATAGTTTTCCAGTACAGAAGAAAGAAGTTAATTATTAATATTAAGAGAAGTAGAGAAGTTCCCACCCTACACTGCTTCCCAATAGCCCCACATGAGCCAGTCTCCCTAAAAGCATCAGCCAAGGCCAGGCGAAGACCCAGCCCCTCTCACTCTCTCAGAACTGAGCTCTAAATTCTTAAGGAGTGAGAACATGGTGTGGCCAGCCCGAAGGAGACGTATGAGGAGGGATGAGTCTCCTGAGTTAAAACTCTTGCCAAAGCTAGGCTATCTCCCACACCTTCCTCCTTCACATTCCCACCACTCCACACCTCTTGTCCCTGACCGCCTTCCCCAGACGGTCACCTGACTTTCCTCAGGAAGCTGGGCTGTTTCCCAGGCTGAGGGCTGATTCACTAAAAGCTGCACACTGCCCAGTCCCTACCCTTCCTTCTCTGAAAGTCGTCTCACTAGAGAGGTCCCAGCTCATGGGGAGGCCTGACGAGCCTGGGCCAGGGTGGAAGTGCAGGAAGCCTGTTCCTCCACGGTACACCCCCTAAAGGGGAACCTACATAGGGACCAATGACAGGCTCAAAACAGGGCTCAAAGGTGGTGGCCGAAGAGATTCAGAAGGGAAGACTGCAGCTGAGGTCTCAGGCACCAACATGCCAACCATCACCAATCTTCTGAAGACCCAAGTGGTGAAGTCTACCCTTGGGTACGATGCGCCCTCAATAAAATGCCTCCCCATGAGCTCCCCAAGCAAGAAGTGTGCAGCTGGCAGGAATATCGGACAGCAGGAGCCTGAGGGCACCCCAAAACAGAGTGGCAGGTCAGAGCCCCCGTGGGAGCAGACAAAGCACAAAGGACTGCCCTTTCTTAGGGCTCGAGGACAGAGGAGCGGCCAGAGGAGCGAGTGAGATCCTGGCCGGGGAGCTCAATGGACAGACCTTTGTTTGTTTGACTACATTTTAAAGACTAAATTCAATGAAAAACAAGAACAACTCACTGGCAAGCAGAATTCCTCAAAGGCAGGTTTGACGAATGTAATGTACTGAGATAAAATCTGCTCAAGGTCCCTCCCTCTTTCGCTGATGTCCCTTAATACTAGAAGAGAAGGAAAAACAAGAATCAAGAAAACGGTGCATGAGTCAACACATGTCCGGCCCTTCGCGGGGCTGATCAGGATCATACAAGCTCCACAAGGACTCTGGATGAGTCACATGCCGGATTCCTGAGAGACTGGACCAAGAGCCAGTCAGCAGCAGCTTTGGGAAAAACAAGTTGCATTTTCACGTCTTGCTACAGTCAAATTCAGCTATGACAAAATGCTCTAGGAAGCAAAAGGTTTCCGGGAAAGGCCATTAGTCTTCTCATTTCAAGCAACATTTGATCCAAATAAAACTTCACTGTGAACCCCCAGAAAAGGTAGGACAAGCTCATAACAGGAAGTAGACTGGGCCCACAGACGTGGTGGGGCTTCCTGGCAAGAGGGGCAGGTTGCCAGGAGGTGTCTCCTTTGCCGTCCTTACCCGTTACCCTTGTAGGTACTCACCTGTGTTCAGGCTGGCAGCCCTCTGTGGATGCACCCCCTCTGTCGGCCTGGCCCCCCTCAGACACAGAGGAGACCACTAAGCAAAAGCTGATAAAACTGTGGTGTCAGAGACCACAGGCCAGAGCTGTGAGGCAGCCCAGAGGGACCCAAACTTATCATCTTCCTTCCACCTTCTTCCTCCTTGAGGGTGGGGGGTGTTTACCGCATCAAACGCTGCTTTTAACAGTCTTTTGTTAAAGCACAGAAAAGGGTCCAGAATCCTGGTTCTGCCACTGGACACTAGCCTCCCTGGGCCTGAGTTTCTCCCAAACTCAGCAAATGAGTTTGACTCCCATATCAAAAGCAACCCCTCCCTACAAATGTTTTCAATCATGACTATGAAAATCTTTCCCTCCCACCCCAGAAGGGTATCAATTTATCTACAATCATTTGCAGTGGACACCTGGCTCCTCTCAATCACTTCTCAAGTAATCATTTCAGCATGGAATGAAACTCACTGTAAACCAAGACAGGGAATACTTGTCAGTGCACTTCTGGAAAGTCGTGTCTGTAAATAACTCTGTTGACATGTATGCACACACACAGGAACACACGCACATGGGCAGGGGCAGGAAACAGAGAGTGTCTGTGGTTACAGTCCAGGCTGGTGTGAAGTCTGTAAGATCAGATGGCTAGAAAACTGTCAGGAAGGCACCATTCCAGAAACCCAGGTAATACACTGCTATCAACACTGACTTCCAGCTCTGCAATTCACAAGGGTCTTCCCCCCAGGAGCCCTGGGTAATAAAATGGTTGGCTGGTCCCTAACTTGTCAGGATTTGCCTCACAAACCCCACTGCCTGCATGCCCAGCCCAACCCAGCCAGGAAATGGTCTTCTCGGGCATTTGGACCTGGGGCCCTGCTCCAGCTGCTCCCGCTGCTCTGCCAGGGACACTTGGCGGCCAAGTAGGAGCGCCAACGGCTGCCACGTGGCTCAGCCCCATGGGCCTCCAGAGTGCGGGCCTGTGGGCCAAGGGACTGAGCTCGCCAAAACACACAGCCCGTGTGGCCTCCAGCTCTTCACATGTCTCCAGATAAAGCCCAAAGAAAAAAAGAAGTCAGACCAAAAGGGCATTAGAGCTGGGGAAAAATAAAAAGCAAACACATGCCTGCACTTCAGCAGCTTTGACTCAAAACCCTGCAAAAGCCCGATGTTGGATTTGTTTTGCAAGACACGCATCTCACACAACTGCCGACAGCCTCAGCACAGTGGAAATCCCCCTCCTCCCCCAGGACACACACACGCACGAACTCTCCCCTCTCACAACGCTATGCCGCTGCCCTCGGCCCACGTCTGCAGCTCTCCTGTGCCTTGCGGGCCTAGAGCATCACCTGTCATGTCACAGGAGTGAGGAACAGGAGGGGACAGAGCGGGTACAGCAGGTGAATCACACCTGCCTCTGCCCTGGAGCCCAAAGCTGCTCTTGCCCCATCATCTGGAGTGATGGGGGCAAAACTGACCCTATTTGAATCCCGACCCCATTAACTACTACCTTTGTGGCCTCAGACAAAAAGCTCATTTTCCTTAACTGTAAAGCAGAGACCACAACAGCAACCTGTCTCACAAAGCTGTCACTTAGGAAGATTGGAGATGTGCAGAAAATTCTTCAGCACCATGGCTGGCACATGGTGTGTGTTCAGTAAGCCTAAGATACTACAATTATGAAGGTGACAAGGACCTGAGGAAGCTTCAGGAGAGGGGTGGCTCCCTGATAGAGCATCAAGAGGACACGAACTGTGAACTCAGCTAAGCAGGCTGGACCCAGTGGGGGTGGGGGTGGGAGTCCCAGAGAGTAGCTGGGAAGGTGAGGGTGGGGTTTCAGTGGGGAGGGGAGGGCAGACATGTGGAGAGAAACAGGCAGACAGGAAGGAGACATCCTGCAACTTCCACGCGGGAAGAGGAGACAGCAGTGGGCCAGAACGCTGTCCAGACACCAGGAACACGCAAAGCCAGAAGGCATCGCCCACCTCTGCTCCCAAGAGCCTTCCATCAAATTATCACCTTAGACAGACGGGACCCCTCCTTGAGCCCAGGACAACTTGGGACCGGCTAGTTCACGACACTGAAATGCCCTCCTCCTCAGAGTCAGGAAACGTAACCAAGCCAACCACTGAATCAGAACAAGACCTTGGCACAAACGGAGTCTCCAGAGACTCAGAACCGGGCCCTGGTCACCACTCGACCCCGGCACACTTGCTGGGCCGGGACAGGTCATCTCAGCGTGCCCTGCAGGGTAAAGGGCGGAAACCACAGGCCTGCTCTTCCCTGCCTGGCTTCCACTCCGCCCTTCCAAATCAGCCTGTGCTGCTTCTGGTCAGCCAGAGCCCAGAATCAAACGTAGACGGCCCAGAATAAACACAATTCCTCCACGGTTGTCAATTCCCTCTAAAGATCAGTTGGGGAGATGTGTTATTCTAGTAAAAGAACAAACCACCTACGTCAAGGCTCAGTGAAGCCCTAATTCTGCGGAAACTGCACAGAGAGCCGTGGCAGGAGGGGCCTGAGGCCAGCAGTCCCAGAGCCCCACCGCAGGCCCTCTGTGATCCAAGGGGAGGTCACACTCACACAGAGAGGGAGGCAGGGCAGGCTTCGCTGGGAGGAGGCCAATTCCCTAGACACCAAGGGCCCCCAGGAAGGAAGGAAGTCCTTCCCAAGGCTGTGAGACTTGGTGCAGGTCTCCTTCCCTTCTGGGAGGACGTGACCCACAGACGGCAAGACCATGGCACTCACCCGAGTCCCCAGGAGTGTTCTCCTGCTCCACAGCTCCTGACCAACCCTCCTTCCCTCTCCCTGACCCCACCCCACCCCAGCCCACACAGCGCGCTTTCCTGTCCTATGCAGACAGAGAGTGAGTTTGTAGGAACAGCATTTGGGAAGTCCCACTAGATGAGCAGGAGAGTAACTCGGCAGTAGGTGACGTGACAGGATGGCGGATCCGAAAGCAGACAGTGAGCTGCCGCAGGGGCCCCAGGCCAGGCAAGGGTGCAGAGCTGGCCATGAGAAACCCAGAAGAGGCCACTGTTACCCACGCCTCTCCCCCATCTCACATAAGGGTCTTAGTGTAAGATCTACCCAATCTACCCCACAATCATCCATCTAAATCAGACGTGTCACACCACAAAACGTGGTTCCCATTTCCACATTTTTTGTACAAGCTTCTCTCTCAGGCATCACTCCATCCCCTGGGACGTTAGTACCACCTGCTAGACTAATGATGATATCAGCCCAGGTGTTACCAGCTCCCGAGGACATGTCTACTGAGGTTCTGACAAGTCTTGACGGAACACTAGGGAAAACAGAACATCAGCTACCATCTCAAATGAAGCAGGTTTCTGATCTGCTATGTTGACATTTATCAACTAAAGCCATCACCAGGCATTACCTCTAACAGCGCAACTATCCCAGGAGTACTAACTAATCATTACATGATCAACCAGTAGGAAAATAAGGTACAAAAAGGTTAAAACACAACCTGCTCCAAGTCACACATCTACTAAACAGTGAAAAGTGAAAGAAGCTGCAAGTGTTAGTCACTCAGTTGTGTCAACTCCTTGCAACCCCACGGACTTAGCCTGCCAGGCTCTTCTGTCCACGGGATTCTCCAGGCAAGAATACTGGAGTGGGTTGCCATCCCCTTCTTCAGGGGATCTAAATGGTGAAACCAGGATTAAAATAAAGTCCAGTTCATCTGACTCCCATTTTTCCCCCAATGATGCCTCCCAAATCGGGCAAGCTAACATGGATATCCGAGCAGATGAGCTGAGAGCCCTGCCTGGGCAGGACCTGCGTTCATGAATGAAGTTATGAATCAGACCCTGGGATCAGATGCGTAAGAGATTCTCAGGCTCAAGTCTCAATTATCTGTCAAAGAACACCATGCAATCCTTATCTGGCCTGTGTCAAGACCCTAAAAAACAGGACTGTTTCCTTCATATTACCCATTAACAAAAAAAAATGCCTAGGAGGTCACAGGAGCCACCAAAATCACAAAGCTAGGAGGAGGCTCTGCCGGGACTAGAATTCTCTCCATTCCATTGGATTGCCCCCTTCCCCAGGCTACCTGGGAGGCGAACTACAGCTTCCCTGACTTACAGAGTATGAATCCTATTACTCCTTAGGAGAGCAAATCCCAGGTACTCATTTCTCTAGATTCTGCCATTTCCATTTACAGCTCTTGCGATAAGCACACTAAATTGGGTAGAAAACAAATTCGTTTCATGAACTGGAAAAGGGAAAACTTCACACACTTTGAGGTTGGATGGGTTGGGGCTTACGAAATCTGAATCTGCTACTGATTTGCTCTGTGACTGAGGGCTAAGCCTGGAGTGTCCGGTGTCGCCCTGCCTCCATGATGGGACTCAAACTTTAATCACCCTTCATCCCTCTCCTCAGTCACTTCCACCCCACTGCCTAGGCTGTGTCCTGTCGGCTCCAACTCTGCTGGGTTCCCCATCTCTCCTCAGTGGTTCATGCCCCAAGATGCCACCCGCAGACGACAGCCCTCGCGTCACCCAGTGCTAACAGGCCAGTGTCTATGTTCGCAGCCTTCTCGGGCTGCCTACGCCATCAGCCCAGCACATCCACGTCTGGACCCCGCCTCTCCCACGAAGCCTGCCGAGCTCTCTGCTCTGGGCCCCGGGGCTGAATCCACAGGCTCCGCTTCCTGCCAACTAGCATTGCAGCGTCTTCCGCACAACTGTGCTAACCGGCCACAGTGTCTATGTTCGCAGCCTTCTCGGGCTGCCTACGCCTTCAGCCCAGCACACCCACGTCCTGACCCCGCTTCTCCCACGAAGCCTGCCGAGAGGCCCCGGGGCTGAATCCACAGGCTCCGCTTCCTGCCAACTAGCATTGCAGCGTCTTCCGCACATGCTGAAGCAAGGTACTCAGAGGGGACAACCAACCGTGCTCCCAGGCTGGCTGGACAGAGTGACCACCGCTTCACAGAACTTTCTGGACAGCCAAGGGCAAGGGGAATGGGCAGATGGGACCAGCTGCCCAGAGCCGCCAGCAGAGGGTGCTCCTGCCCGCAGATGTGCCGCAGTGAGTCCCCATCTTGACTGGGACACCTATGCGGAAATCACAGGGAACTGAGCACGGAGCCAAACTTCTCCCCAGCAAAACCATAAGGTAAACTTCTTATTTCATGTCTGTGACCTCACGAACCTTTAACAAAATACTGAGTGAAACTAACCCCTTCTCAAATGTCACCAAGTGTTTGGGCAGCAGGACATCCCTGCGGCAAGAGTGACTGGCCCGGGCTGGGCCCCAGGGACAGGAGCCCACCCCGGGGGAAGCCCGGACCCCAGACTCAGGGAGGGCAGGGGCCTGTCGCAGGCCACTGATGGGCCGTCGGCGGCTTCTGGAACGCACCTCTGCGGGAGAGCCGGGTGTCCGCATCTGTGTCCACAAAAAGCTTCATCTGAAACAGGTCTCGCACCTCCTGGGAGTAGAAGGCCAGGATCCCTTCGAAGAGCACCACGTCTGCGGGGTAGACAGTAACCGTCTCCTCCTTCCTGCAAAGCAGAGGGCAGAAGATGAGCTGGGCCAGGTGGGAGCAGCAGGGGAGAGGGAGTCTGGAGCTCCATCCCCTGGACTGAAAGGGGGCCGAAAGGGTTTAAGCAGAGCCTCACAGAGCCCTTGGACCACTATGGAAGACCTAAGAATGAGAGCCAGTACAGCTGGGGCAAAGGTTTCCCCTAAGCAGCTCTGTGGAGCTTTCACCACAAGGCAGAAATAGAGGGCCTATGTCCCTCTCCTTGGAAGAAAAAAACCTGCTGTTAAATGAAGAATAAAGACAGACAAAAGGAGATGTGAGCACTTCCCCGCCCCCCGCCCGGAGGCATCCCTAGGATCGCTCTGAGTCCTGGCATGTATGGAACCTCACACTCTGAACTTTCAGAAACAGAAACTCAGTTTTCTCCCAAGAAGCCCATCCCCTCCCCCAGTGCTGAGGAAACTGGGAGGAAGATAGAAGGGGCAGAGGGAAAGGTAGGGATAAGAAAGCTTTAGATAAGAGACTGGGACGGGAAGGATCTCTGTGGAAGGAGAAAACAGCCCCAGACTTGCCTGGTTTGGCTCTTCTTCAGCAAAGCAGAGACACATATTACGTCATCCACCCACCCACGGGGCTGGGAAGCCCAAGGCAGAGAGATCCTAATGTAAACATGACTCTTCAAAAGCCAGGGCAGTGAAAACAAGTGGAGGGGCCTGACGGGGCCTCCCTCTGCCTTGCCGCGACTTTCACTGCACTCTTTCATCTTTGCTTCTGTCCTAAAACCACATTGCACCTCACTTCAGAATCCACTGGAAGGGAAGTAAGGACACCGCTGCAAGGGTCACCACTGGCCCTGACTGGCAGAGCAGCAGACATTCGTGAAGAAAACCAAACGTTTATTTCAAAAGCTCCCTAAGATGATAGGCTTTATTTGTGCACACATAGGGAAGTCAACAGCAGCTGCCCGCTAAGGAGGAACTTCCTTCCCATAAACATGCTTTGATTCTTTATTGGCTCAGTCCCTTGGGCTCGTGTCTAAACTCTAAGGCAGCACTGTTGCAGCATAGAACCTGGAGCATAAAAGACGGCAGAAAAGGGCCAGGTCAGAGCAGTCAGGAGACTTGAGAACAGCGGTGTAACTCCTGATGCACAAAGAATCATCTGGGGAGCTTTTAAAAATACTTATTCCTGGACCCTACTCCCCTGGGGCTCTGATTTCATTAGTCTAGGGTGTAGCTAGGGCATCAGTACTTTTTAAAAGCTCCCCAGGTATTTCTTCCTTTCTTTTTTTTTTTTAAGTCATGAAACTTTATTTACTTAACAGCAGAGGTTTGCAGTATATTGAGCAGATAAAAATACCCAGACAAACTGCATCCACATTCCTATTGGAGAGACTTCTAACTTCTTTATTTTAGAAACTGACAGATAAAGAAGGAAATGGAAAGTCTAACACAATTAACAAAAATATGTGGTTTAAGTATACACACGACTTTGTACAAAACTTTGAAGTACAACTGCAGCAGGCACAAAAATTAACTGTCAGGCCACAATTAATTTGGAATTAATCAATTCCAAAAGTAGAATTCATTTGTACGTTTGTTTTTTATCTCTCCTGTTTGGGATTGTAGGGAATGAAATCTAAGGATTTGATTTCATTAGTTCTGGGGAAAATTTAAGCTATTATCTCTTCAGATATTGCCTTTATTCTCTTCCCTTTCCTTCTGATTAAATATTTTTCAGATCTGAACTACTGGCCACATCTCTTAATCTTTTTTGTTTTTTTTTTCTGTCTTTTTCTTTCTTCATCCATTAAGGCATTAATGCATTAACGGATGATTTCTTCACATCAATCCTCTATTGTCTGAATTGAGTTTTTTTTTCCACTTTGCTGCTAATACATTTACTGAGTTTGAAAATTTTGCCATTGTGTTTCCCATTTCTAGAAGTAATTTCTTTTTTCACACTTATACATTATTTTTTTTTAATTTACATTTGCTTCTCCAGATGTTATTAAGATATAAAACACTGTGTAAGTTTAAGGTATATACAAAATGATTTGACTTAATTATGAAATGATAACTATAATTGGGTTAGTGAACATCCATCATCTCATATAAAATAAATATCAAAGAAATAGAAAAAAAATTTTGTGACGCGAACTCTTAGGATTTACTCTTAACTACTTTCACACAGAACATACAGCAGTGTTACCTATATTGTATTGTAGATTACATCCCTAGTTCTTATTTATCTTTACAAGCTGAAGCATGTACCTTTTGATCTTCCTCTAATTCTCCCTCCTCCACAAACCCTATCTCCCCATTCCCCAACCCCCTGTGGCAGTAGCAACAATCTGATCTCTTTTTCTTTTAGTTAGTTGGTTTGTTTTTCTGCAGTATAATCGACCTACAACACTATGTCAGTTGCTGGCACACAACACAGTGAGTTGATATTTCTATACATTACAAAATCATTACCATGGTAAGTCTAGTTATCACCTGTCACCACACAAAGATACTATTATTGAGTAAATTCCCCACACTGTACACTTCATACCTGTGATTCATTTATGTTGTAGCTGAAAATTTGTACCTCTTAATCTCCCTGACTATTTCTTATTCCCCACTCCCTTCACTTCTGGCAACTACCAGTTCGTTCTCTGTACCTATGACCATTGTCTCTGTTTTCTGGTTTGTTCATTTGTTTTGTTTTTAGAGTCTGCTGCTGCTAAGTCGCTTCAGTCGTGTCCGACTCTGTGTGACCCCATAGACGGCAGCCCACCAGACTCCCCCGTCCCTGGGATTCTCCAGGCAAGAATACTGGAGTGGGTTGCCATTTCCTTCTCCAGTACATGAAAGTGAAAAGTGAAAGTGAAGTCGCTCAGTCGCGTCCGACTCTTTGTGACCCCATGGACTGCAGCCCACCAGGCTCCTCCGTCCATGGGGTTTTCCAGGCAAAGTCCTGGAGTGGGGTGCCATTGCCTTCTCTGTTTTAGAGTTTAATAATATATAAAATCATACAGTATCTGTCTTTGGCTGACTGATTTCACTTGGCATAATACCCTCTAGGTCCACCAAGGTTGTCACAAAAAAAAAGGCTCCCCCAGCTATGTCTGCAGCCAGGGTTGAGACATATCAGTCTCTGGGATAATGTCAGGTACTGGAAAACGGTGCCCACTGTGGTTCAGGATAAGGAAGCAAACTGGGCAGAATTCGGAAGCAAGATGGAGAGAAAAAGAGATCAACAAGTGAGCGAAATAAACGTGTCCGACTCTTTGCGACCCCATGAACCGCAGTATGCCAGGCCTCCCTGTCCATCACCAACTCCCGGAGTTTACTCAAACTCATGCCCATAGAGTCGGTGATGCCATCCAGCCATCTCATTTTCTGTCGTCCCCTTCTCCTCCTGCCCCCAATCCCTCCCAGCATCAGGGCCTTTCCCATTGAGTCAACTCATCGCATGAGGTGGCCAAAGTACTGGAGTTTCAGCTTCAGCATCAGTCCTTCAATGAACACCCAGGACTGATTTGGGGTCTTAGATGGTCACAAAGCCTCACAGAAGAGTTGGACTCTGGGCCACAAAAGAACAGAATTTTAAAATAAAGAGCAGAATTACGAGAAAAAAAGTAAAACACGTCTGGATGTGCAACTCTGTGGGGTTTTTTGTTAATACATGAACTTGATGGAGCTCATGCCAAGAAGATACGCATCTTCACCTCCTGCCACCTGACTACACTGGTTAGGCCCCGACTCCACCCAGCTCCCCTCACTCCACTCCCTTCCATCAGGTCCTTATCAGTGTCCCACCGGGGCCACTCCAAGGCTTCATACACAGCATTGTGCATCCTCTTTTCCTGCCATGGGAATGACCTCTCCACTCCTACATAACAGCCATCTTTGGCTCCCTGTTGCCAACACGTTTGTGCCCAGGCTCAGGTCTGTGCCCTTCCTGATCTGAGGCCTATCTACCTCCCAGCCACTCTCCCCACTTACCAACCCCTTTCCCTCAGTACCCAACCCACTGCAGCCTCCCACCAAGTTTACCCTGAAATGCCTCCCTACCCATCACCTTGGAGATCCCTTTCCACAACTTGTTATGCTTTTCAATGCACAGCTGAAGTATCATTTCCTATACAGGTGCCTGCGCTAACTACTCCAGCCTCCTTCCTCCTTTACATCCCTCCACAGGCCTGTGCCTTAGTTGTCAGACTGCATTTTAATTCTGTAGCAGCACCCCGCCCTAGACCTGAAAAGGGGGGTGGGCTTGACTGTCTCTTGTCAACCTGACGTCACCACTGATCTCTGCTAAGGCTAGAAACTACAATTTCCAGAATCTCTTTCCCTAAATGGTCCCAGCTACTTTGCCAAAGGAAAACTTACAAGATGAAAGTGAAACAAAATCTAAAGTTTTTAGGAGATCATGACAGCTAGACAAGGCAACTGTGGACACTCCACAGAAAGGCTGTGGGGACTTCCCTGGTGGTCCAGTGGCTAAGACTCCACACTCTGAATGCCCCCATGAATCCTTGGTTAGGGAACTAGATCCCACATACTGCGACTAAGACATGGTACAGCTATAGCCAGGGGAAAAAAAGGCTGTGGGCCCAGATGCGGCAGATTCATGGACTTGCCATGAACATAGGTTCTCTTCCAGGGGCCTAGTCTGCCATCACTGGGAACTGATTTCTCTGATTCTTCACCCGCAGCCTCCCAGATCTTCACTCTCCCAGCCCCGCATTATTTATGTTAGTTCCAATTCCTATCTAAACATCCCTTTATTCCCGCACAGTCTGTAGAGGCAGATACAGGAGGGGTATCTTGCTCTTTGAATGTCAGGAGAACTGAGTTCATAATAGGAAGTGCTTCCATAGAAACCAGAGAGGCATGAAGGTGAGAACCAAAGCAGCTGGGCTTTCCATCCCAATGTGCCATCTCTTTTCTCCTCCTCCAACCAAACCTCTGCCACACCCTCAAGTTCTGAGAAAGTTCCAGAGAGCAGCACAGAATGTGTGAGCTAAACTGCATTAAAAGCTGAGATGTGTCCTAAAGGAACACACAGGGAGATAAGGATCCGGCTTTTAAATGGAGAAAAAGACACAGAGAATAGACTTATGGACATGGGGAGAGGGGAGGAGGGGGCGAGATGTATGGAGACAGTAACACAGAAACTTACATTACCGTATGTAAAATAGACAACCAAGGGGAATGTACCGTATGTCTCGGGGAACTCAAACAGGGGTCTGTGTCAACCTGGAGGGGTGGGATGGGGAGCAGGTTCAAGAGGGAGGGGACCTATGGCTGGTTCATGTTGATTCACACTGATGACAGAAAACAACAAAACTCTGTAAAACAATTATCCTTCGATTAAAAAGTAAATTAATTAAACAAGATCAAGTTTTTAATCAAAGAAATATTTCGTAGTAACAGTTGCATGAGATCTAATTTCCCATTTAAGAAAAAGAAAAAAAATCAACTCAAGAGAGAACAAGATAAAAGAACGAGGAAGGAAAATGAAAAGTGGGAGGGAGAAACTTTCAAAACCAGCCCAGAGCTAAAAACACTTACTGAGCCATTACTAAGCCCAGGACATGAAGGAGCTGCACGTGGTCGAACACAGCGTTTGGGAGTGTCGGATGTGCCTGGGAGGCCCCACAGTGAGCAGAGCGCCCTGGGCAGCTCTGAAGGAGCTAGGCCCCAGGAGGGAAGTCCTCCAGAAGCTGCTTTCCACTGCTCAGAGGGGAGAATGCTGCGATGGAAGTCAGCCCGCTCCTCTATTGATCGGGAGCATTACTGCTGCTGCTCAGACGCTCAGTTGTGTCCAACTCTTGGCAGCCCCACGGACTGCAGCACGCCAGGCTTCCCTGCCCTTCACTATCTCCCAGAGTGTGCTCAAACCCATGTCCATTGAGTCGGTGATGCCATCCAACCATCTCATCCCGTCGCCCTCTCTCCTCCTGCCCTCAATCTTTCCCAGCATCGGACAGAGTCTTTTCCAATGAGTCAGCTCGTTGGATCATATGGCCAAATTATTGGAGCTTCAGCTTCAAACAGAAGCATGAAAACTGACAAATGGAAGGACAAATCTGACCTGATTGAGAAGCTCCCTAGAGGGTCCAGTCCTGGAGGCTTCAGGCCTCTCACAGCTCTCCACACAGCCCAACCCGAAGTAAACCAGGGAGCAGAAATAACAGCTTCCTTGTTCTTCTTCCTGTTCCTCCACCCTGCCTGCTTGCTTTTTATTCTAGGAACATCTCGGGCATGTGGATAAGGGTGAATTTGCAGTCCCTCACCTGGGCTCAAAATCGCAAATCCGTCCTTCAGAGTAACACAACAGGATGATCATGATCGGACTAGTCAGGAAGCACCCGGACGAATTCCTGACCTGTGTATCTGTGGACACCCTGACGTCACTGCCCCACCACAGACAGGCTGTAGTGGGCACCAGGCGGCGGGGAGGGGACAGGAGACTGGCACTCAGGAGCAGCAGGAAGCAATCCCCAGCCTGAACAGCTCACTTACCGGGAATGGGAAACAAAGTCGTACACAGGAATCTGGACCGTTTTCCCTTCCGTGATTTCTTTGAGTGTCTTGAAGATGAGTTCATTGTCAAAGGCATCTGAAGGAAATCAAACTGTTAAGATGCTTGCTAATTGTAAAATGATTTCTCCTATAATGATGAACAGGCATCCCTCTAAGCCTGTGTTCTACCCATATATGTATCACACCCTAGATAAGCACCCCTCTCCCCCAAAAAGTCTAATTTCAACCCAAAGCAGGATGCAAACTCTACATTTCAAACCAAAATGTGTGAGTCCTGAGAACTGGAAGTGGATTCTTTTCTTTTGCCTTACTGTCCCATCCCTGGCCTGTATCTCTTGCCTCTCTCTAAACCCAGCGTATGATAGATAACCTCACGGCTAGGTGATGGCAGCAGGCAATAGAGCAGTTTTGACTCCCACAACTGAAAGAACCCTAGACCAGTTAAAGAGGCCGTGTGCTGCCCGGGGACTGTAAGGGCAAAAATCACTGGGCCCGCAATCTCCCTTTCTGCCTGTGGGTGAGTTTAACGCACAAGCTGTGTACAGCCATGTGCCAGGTGGTGGTGGCAGGGCGTGACACAGGCTGCTGTGGACCAGAGGAGGCAGGAGAACCAGCTGCTCTGGCCTGTGTCTGTCCCGCCCTGAGTCATGGGTTTCTCCAAGAGTCACCCTTGTTCAGACACAGATTCGATCAGTATGTAAGGAGCCAAGCATTACAGAAGCCACTGTGGAAGCCCTTCTTTCCTATAAGCCCACAACAAGCCTGCAAGATACCTAAGAGTCCTCCATTCAATGGCTAGGAAACAGACTCAGAGAGGCTAAGCAACTTCTTCAATCAACACCCCCACATACGCCCTTCCAATGCCCCAACTCACCTGGGTGATCAAAATTGAACTGGCCCTTCAGGGCTTTGGCCTTCTGCTCTGACGTGAGGACACGGTAGAAGCTATCCTGGCTGAGGATGACCACCTGCTTCTGGCGATAGTCCACCTCGTTCTGTCCCAGAAGCTGCACAATCTTAGCACAAACGGAAGACTGTAAGGAGAGAAGAGGACACCACAGACCACAAGATGAGGTCCAGGCACCGAGCTGACTGTGTGTGCCCCGAGCAAGGGCCTCTGGAAGGAAGAACGCAAAGGCTATCACCGTGGGTGATGCGTTAGGGGAAGGGAGGATATGTCTGCTGAGAAGGAATTCAGGGGGCCCAGAAGTCTCTTCCTCCCCCCTTCCTTAACACAAATCACTATGCTGAAGTATCCACAGTGATGACATGGGGAGGAGGGCAGTAATCTCTATTTCTACTTCATAAAGCCTTCCCCAAACCCGCAAATAAAAGGTGACGCTATTTTATCCTTCTTTACTTCCACCCTAGTACAGATAGATACTAGACAAAAAAGACAGCAGAAATTAGGGAAAGGGCACAGTGAAGATGTGCAGATGGGCCAAAGGGCTGCTGGGTCATGAAATGACTGAGCATTTAGAAGAATGCCCTTACACATCTCTTTATATCAGAGGAATCTCGGCCTCACTCACTGCCAGCCAGCTAAGACCCTGGCTTCCATCCTACTTCAGTCTTTTGCTCTGGTCTACAGCCACGGACATCATGGTCTGCACAGTACACCAGGCAGCCTTTTCACAGGTGTATGCCCCCACTTATGGAGCTGGAGACATGAACATCACCAATCCTGGAAGCAACTTAGGGGCATTCTAATTAAGAGTAGGGACACCAGCTCCCAATGAACTTGAACCTACATACTTGTAATACACATATCTGACTTATTTTCTGTCCAATGAATTTACACTCTTTGTAAAAGGAAAAGTATAAAAACAAGTGCACTCAAAAGAATGAGACAGCCGGGATTTCCCTGGCAGTCCAGTGGTTAAGATTCTGCCTTCCAACACAGGGAGTGTGGGTTTGATCCCTGGTCAGGGAGCTAAGAGTCTATGTGCCTTGTGGCCAGAGGGGGGGACATAAAACAGGAGCAATATTGTAAAAAATTCAATAAATAATTTCAGGGCTTCCTTGGTGGTCCAGTGGTCTGCCTGCCTCTTACCATGTTCGATCCCTGGTCCAGGAAGATACCACATGCTGCCCGTAGGCCGTAACTACTGAGGCATGCTCACCCCAGCTAGAGAAAGCCCAGACACGGCAACGAAGACTTAGCGCAGCCGAAAGTTTTAAAAAAATAAAACAAAGATGTTTGAACCTTTAAATGGTCCACATCAATAAAGATCTTTTTAAAAATGAGGTAGTGAAGGATTTTATTTATCAAATAACTGATTTCTTTCTCATTTGCTACAAAGATTACCTGAAAAATAAGAATGTCTACATCACAAAACCTCTAGAAGATGTAATGGAAGTCCCCTTATGGAACTGGCTGATGTGATTACAAGCAATGAAAGAATGAGCACAGTTAGAGGTTTCTTGGGCTCAGCCTTATAAGTCCTACAATTGAGACTATTTTACCAACTGATTTTAACGGGGAAAAACCAGCAAACTTTTCATTAAAAGTTACACTTCATATGAAGAATGTATTTGAATCGTCCAAGCATAAGGAAAACTCGCTATTCCTGTTGTACTACTCAATGTAAATTAAAACTATTTGGCACAGTATGTCCTGTTTTATAAGTTGTGAAACACACTGGCATTTTATAAGGATCTGTGGAAGAATAATATTTTGACTCAGCTGTTAGTTATTAGGAAGTTATTTTACTTTTATGGCAGTTTTGCATATTAATACACAAATAAAACACTTAAACTACTTGAGATTTTTGCAATGACAGATGTGCCACCAAAAAAGGAAAAAAATCACAGGAAGATATAAAGCTTGCATATGACTTAAACTAGATTCAAAAATGAAAATGCTGTAACAGAATCAAAGGTTCTATGCAGTTAAAAACTTGTTTTTATACTTGTCTAGGTCCATAATTTCCTTTTCCTAGCTTCCATCTGCTTCTTGCATCGTAAGGCTATGAGTGGGGAACGTTTATACCTGCAGTTTTCACTAGTAAATAGAATTCCTTCTAGCAGTCCAAAGAACTGGGACTCTCCTGGTAACTCAACAGGGAAGAATCCACCTGCCAATGCAGAAGACAGGTTTGATCCCTGATGTGGGGAGATTCCACATGCCTCAGAGCAACGAAGCCCGAGCGCTACACTACTGAGCCTGTGCTCTGGAGCTCATATGCTCGACTGCTGAAGCCCACGCGCCCACAGCCCACGCTCTGCAACATGAGAAGCCGCTGCAATGAGGAGGCTGCGCCGCACAGCTAGTGAGCAGCCCCTGCTTGCCACAGCTAGAGAAAAGCCCACTCGGCAACAAAGGCCCAGCATAGCCAAAAATAAATACATAAATAAAAAAATTTTTTTAAGAAAGTCAGCAGGAGGAAGTGAGATAAACGTGGAGTTTGGGGTCGACATACATACACCACTATATATGAAACTGATAAACAATAAGGATTTACTGTTTAGCACAGGAAACTACAGGCAGTGTCTTGTAAAACCTCCGGAGGAAAAGAATCTGGAAAACGGAAGTATAACTGAATCATTCTGCTGCATACCTGAAGCTAATGCTACTATATTCCAAAAAAAATAAATAAAAAGAAGGTAATCAGGAGTTTCCAGGCAGGGCTCCCTTGGTGGCTCAGTGGTAAAGAATCCACCTGCCAATGCAGAAAACACAGGCTTCCATCCCTGGTCCGGGAAGACCCCACATGCATCTAAGTCCCTGAGCCTGTGGTCCAGAGCCTGGGAGCCACAGCTATGGAGCCCACACGCCGCAACTAGGGAAGCCTGCACGCCCTACAGCCCAAGCTTCACAACAAAAGTCAGCACACCACTCCACTACAGGGCAGTACCCTCACTTGCTGCAGCCAGAGAACAGCCTGTGCAGCCACAAAGACCCAGCACAGCCAGAAACAAGTAAGTAAATAAACAAAATTAGTTTTTTAAGTACTAAAAAAAAAAAAGAAAGTTCCAAGGCATAAGAAACCCTTTATCATTCAGGAGATAAACACCACTGCATGAACAAGCAAAGAAACACCAGCCTCTAAGTGAATCTAGATTTTTCTAGTATTTTCTTCTCCCTGAAATTTTTGTTAAAAATGGGCCCCAAATATCTAGATAACTGCTGAATCAGGGAGAGGTTCATTGTATTATTCTGTCTCTTGGCGCTTAGGTCTCAATCTTTACACAATCAGAAGGAAGACGTGCTACAGAGGACTTCTGCAATGAGTAAATACTTAAGCCCTTCCTTTAATGTCTCCTTCACTGTTAATTTCCCTTTTCTCTAATCCCGCCCTCTTCAAAAGGATGAAATGGAGCTGCAAGGCTTCTTCTTCTCTTAGGAAAGGGTTTGAGACAGGAAAAAAATTAATGACTAGGGTTTCAGAAGAAGGCAAGCAATCATGAGCTTCTAGAATGCTAAAAATGGGACAGAGTATAATTGCTGTGGTGAGCTAAGACTTATTACTAACTATAGTTACAAAAACACAAGTACCATATGATGCCACTTACATGAGGTATCTAGAATAGTCAAATTCATAGAAAGTAGAATGGAGACTGCCAGGGGCTCGGAGGAGTTGCATAATGGATATAGTTTATTACATGATGAAAAAGTTCTGGAGATTGGGGCCCAAAGCAAATATACTTAACACTACTGAACTTATGCTTAAATATGATTTTTAAGACAGTAAATTTTATGCTATTAGGTTGGTGCAAAGTAAATGTGGTTTTGCATTGCTGAACTTTGCTGTTTGATATTGGAATACATTCTTAAATGTGGTTATGTTATACATCATTTTAATGCACAGTTCTCCATTTTTACGCTACAGGAATAAACAAACTTATTTCTTGTTGGCAAATATGTGTTGATTATAATGGTTCCTATTTTCATTAATCACGATGTGCTTGAGCCTAGTTATAATGATTTAAAATTCACTTCCAAAACTGCAATTACTTTTGTACCAACCTAATATGTATGTTTTATCACAATTAAAAATAATCATTCATATAAGAAGAATGTGCCTTTAGAGGTAGTTTCTTCCTATGTGCTAGTTGTGTGGTGCGTGCTCAGTCATGTTGGAATCTTTGTGACCCCGTGGACTGTAGCCTGCCAGGCTCCTCTGTTCACAGGATTTCCCAGGCAAGAATACTGGAGTGGGTTGCCATTTCCTCCTCCAGGGGATCTTCCCAGCCCAGGGACTGAACCCAAGTCTCTTGCGCCTCCTGCATTGGCAGGCGGATTCTTTACCACTGAGCCACCAGGGAAGCCCACACTGGGCTCAATATTTTTAAATCATTCCATTTACTATTACAACTTTGTATGCTGGCCATTATTATTACACCCGCTCAGTGAAGACTGAGGTGAAGAGAGGCAGAGTGATTTGCCCAAGGCAAGCTGCAGTGGAGCCAGGGTCCTCACCCAGGGAGCCCCACTCTGGAGCCCACTTACTCTCCTTCCAGCTAAACCTCACCAGCAAACGCACCACTCATGGAGCTGGAGGTAAACTCAGTTTTGCCTGGTATCTCCACACATAGTGCAGTGTATCCTGAACAGATTCTGTCCCTGCCACTTTTAGCACACTATTTTAAAGTGCGGGGGGGGGGGGGGGGGGGGACAAAAAGTGACAAGTCAGCTTAGGGTTGCTGTCTGAACACAAAATTAAGATCAATATGAGGTTATTTTTAGAAAAAGAAAAAAGATTAAATGGAAGAATCAGTGAAGATAATTTACAATTTCTTCACTACTATGCCATTTTGAAGATATTATCTCACTTAATTCTATTACAAAAGATATTGTTTTATCTTTTTTTCCACCTTAATGAGGAAACTGAAGCTTAGAGATTCCAATTAAGCTAAATAACTTGCTCAAAAGTCATGGAGCTGAATCTCAAGCCTAACTGCAGATCTTCTAACTGCAAAGGCACAATTCTTTTCACTATTCTAGAACTGAAGCAGCTTTGACATCACCCCCAATATTCTATATAAATTTACTCCACTTCCAGAGAACAGGGAGGGAACTACTTAGAAATGT